AAAAACAGGAGAAAGGCAGGAGGGAAACACAAACAAGTAAGACAGCTTTGAAAGAGGCATATCGAATTTGTTAGACACTTAAAAGGAAAAGCAAGCTATCATGTACAATCCTCTTTTTTCTATTCTACTTTGCATATGGAAATATTCATCTGATTTGGTGTTTTTAAATTCAGAATTATTAAATAAAGATTGTTCTCTGTAGTTGCCCATCCTAGTAAAATCCAGGCTTCTCAGCACTGAAGATTGTCCACGATGGACAGCACTTCTCGAACCTTACGTACTTTCCCCCACTCTCCAAACACTGACGCCCCTCCCCAGCTGGACAGGTCTACCCACTGTCACTCATTCAACAAGCATTTCTCAAGTGTTTGCTTTTTGCCAGGCACAGCTGGGCACAATGGGAAGAGCATCAGATTTGGAGACAAAGTATTTCTAATCAAACCCCACCTCAAATATTCTCACTTCCTCTCCTGGACCTTGATTTCCTCAACTGTTGGACCAGGGGTCTCTAAGGTCCCTTGTACGCTCCAAATTTGTGATACCATGAATATGGAAAACTGGATCAATATCAAGCCTCGATTAAATGCTACCTCACAAATATAGACTTCCTCAAGGTCACACAGGAAGTAAACAGATGAGCCAAGATTAGGATCCTGGTCCCCTCACTCTCTGTTCAGCATTTTTTTCCCAGTGCACCACACTCACTCTGTAATGTTACAAAACATGATTTGGGAATCATTGTTCTAGAACAAGGATCCTTAGCCTGGGGTCTATATATAGTCTACGAACTCTATATCTACAAACAGTCTAGGAACTGGGGGAGGGGGGAGTGGGAGGGAAATTACCTTTATTTTCATTAATCTTTCTTTTCCTTTGTAATCCTATGGATTTCATTTTATGTGCTTAAGATACTACTCTAAGATGGGCTTCTGAATGCCAAGGGAGTCCTCCCTCACACAAAAAATGTTAAGAACTCCTGTTCTAAAGAATAAATATCTTAACCCCATGCATCTCTGGGTCAGTTTCTGTCCCCTAAAGGCACCTTTAATCAAGATATAGAAAGCAAATAGGACATTTATCCAAGAAAATTACATGTTTATTTCAGATACTCCGCAGACTCCTCGCCCAGTGCCAGTGAAGCTAGCCCTGGGTTTTCCCAAGCTAGGACAAAGGAACTCTGTTAGGTTCTACTACATTGGAAAGTTTTTGAGCCTAATCTAATGACAGACTGTCTGCTATCTGAGGACCATCCCAACCAAGTCTGGAAAGGCCATCACCATGATGAAGTTGATCCTTAGGGAATGGATTATTTGGCCACAGCAACTCAAAAAAACACATAAAAGTAAGGCATCTTAAAAATTATTTTAAATTAATTTGAGATTGTCATTAATAGTAGTAATAAAATCACATATTTACACAGCACTTTAGGGTATAGAATAGTGGACATTTGTAGAGCATCTTAAGTTTTACAAAGTACTTTTCACAAAGGGTCTTACTTGATTCTCAGTCCCACTCTGAAGGAGATAGCAGGAGGATTACTGTCCTCATTTTACAGATGTGGATAACTGAGGCTCAGAGAGAATCACAGCATCCAACACGAGTTGGGCACTAAATAAATGCTTTGTGAATGGGGGAGGGAGACAGTGTTAGAATTGGTCATAGGACCTGGGCTTCAATACCTCTCTGCTAATAATGACCTCTATGTGGCCTTGGCCAAATCACTCCACTTCTAATGAGGGGACCTGAAGATGAAATGATCTCAAGTGGTCTTAACTCTCTAAATCTAGAATCTTCTGCCTTGACCAAGGTCACAGAGCCCAGCATTGGATGCAGGTTTTGGACCCAAGTGCACAATATTCCAAACCCAATGCCCTTTTCACTATATCCTACTGCCTTCCTTTTAAAAGCAAGGCTACAATCTTAACACTTACCTGGTGGAAAGGGCAATGAATCTGGAGTTGGTAGAGACCTGGTTTCAAATCCTTCCTCTGACACTGACCAAAGATGCAGCTCTGAGCAAGTCACAATCTCCCTAACCCCCCATTTCCTCAACTGGAAAACAGGGGGAAAGGAAGAATACCTGGACCTACCTACCTTCAACAACAATCAGTCCAAACTTGCAATTTCATCTATGTAGAGAACTCAATGCAGGTAAGCAATTATCTGTAAGTATAGCAGTAGAGAGTTGCCTGGCATCCCAAGAAGTCAGCTGACTTATCCACAGTCACACAGTTGTTACGTTTTAGAGTCAGCCCTTGAACGGAGGCATATAGGTGACACACAATAAAAGCACAACAAAGAGCCTGGAGTCAGGAAGACCTGAATTCAGTTATAACCTCAAAGACTTGCTAGCTGTGTGACCCTGGGCAAATCACTTAACCTTACAAATGGTTTCCCCATTTACAAAACAGGCATAATGACAGCATCAACCTCCCAGAGTTGTTGTAAGATCAAATGAGATTAATATTTGTAAAAATAAAAATGTTTCGTCCAATGCCTGACACATAGTAGGCGCTTAATAAATATTTGCTTCCTTCCTTCCTGACTCCAAGGTTAGCCCTCTATTCTATGTTCCACCTACCCACTCAGAACAGAACCCTATATATAAAGGTCAGCTAGTTATGATCATTAATGTCAAAGTTTTTAAAAACATGAATCTATACTCTGGAAAAAAATGGTTAAGCTAATAGAAATAATATTTATAAAGCACTTGCTATAGTGCCTGGTACATAGTAATATATAAATGTCAACTATTATTAACTAGCTACGTGACTGTGGGGTCATATAACTTGTTTACCTCAGTTTCTTCAACTATAAAATGGGGATAATAATAACATCAACCTCCCAGAGTTGTTTTAAGATCAAATGAGATTAATAATTTTTTTAATTTAAAAATTTTTGTTAAATGCCTAGTCCACTGCCTGACACATAGTAGGTACTCAATAAATACTTGTTTCCTTCCTTCCTGACTCCAAGGCTGGCCCTCTATTCCATGTTCTCAGAATAGAGCTCCATATACAAAGGGCAGCTAGTATGATCATTAATGTCAAAGTCTTTAAAAACATGAATCTATACTCTGAAAAAAATACTTAAGCTTAAAAAAAATTTTCCCCGTAAGTTTAACTTTGATCAATCCAAATCCTCAGGCCAGTTCCTATCCTACCACCTAACCCACAAATTGGGTCTGCTGAAAATGCCACAAAATTAGGACAAATTGTGGCACTTTTTGCATCCTCAAAAGTCCTCCACTCCTCCCCCAATGTTTTTCTTAACCAGACCTGAGATATCACAGACGTAGGGAACTCCCAGAAAGAAAACTCCCTCTAACAAAGCAGAATGGAATGAAACTCAACAGTGATTGACATTCTAGAGAGCCGCCTGAGGCACTGAACGGTGAAAACAATGTACTCAAGGTTACCCAGCCAAAAACTGCTAGAATCAGAATCTGAACTTGGGGCTTCCGGACTCCAGGGCCAACTTCCCATCTCCTCCACCACACTGTCTCTCAAGCTCATCCACAGAAGCACTTTATAAAACATAAAGTGTATCCTACACAAGAATATTTCCAGGGAGGGAAGAGAACAAGGGCACTTTAACAGACACAATGAATGGGCTTTACAAGGTACCTCTGAAAGGGATGGAGACAGGGAGAACTGTCAAGGTCCTAAACCTACAACAAGCTTCCTATACAACTGAGGCATTCGGAGTCACAGTTTCCTCCAGCTTTCCAAACAAGGATGAGGAGCCCAATGCACACCTCACTGGCTTGTTATGGAGAGCACCTAATAAAAATGATTGTCTTAATAAGCAAGGCTTTTAATGGCCAAATGAACAGGTCTGGATCTGCCTCCCCACAACCACTGAGGGCACATTTCTCAGGCCCTTCTCCCGGCTCTCTCCTAAAAGGAGGGTCTGGCTCTTTAAAAAGGTGGCATCCGCTCCTCCCGTGCCATGGCCCAAGTGCTAAACAGTAACAGGTGCCATTAAACAACTTCAGGGAAGAAGGCTGGGATTTTATCACTTTGGGGATCCCTCAGGGCAAATGCCTCCTCCCACCGGGCTTCCCCTTCTAAAAGATGTTTTGGTTAACATCCAATAGGCTAATCCCTCAAAACAAACCTCTAGCCTGCCGAACCCCTGCTCAGAAATTCCTGGATGTCCCTCACCCAAGTGCAAAACTCACACACCAATGGAACCAGCAGCACCAGAGGAGAAGCAAAGGAATGCTTAAAACCTTCATCCAATCCTCTCCTCTGGGAAGCACATGCAGGCTCAGAGCTGGACCCCAGCGGTACCTTCCCCAGTTTGCCCACAATAGGATGCAATTTCCTCAACTTTTCTCACTCCACCCTTTCCTAGAGTCCCCAACAGGCCTTACTTTATCATCACCCCTTGAGGGATATTTCCCTTTAGGGCTTAATTTCTGAGACTGGATCTTGGGAGGACAGGAGAGAGGAAAGGCCAAGAAGAAGAGAACGAATAGGGGGGAGCAGATGTTGGTGGGATTCCAACCAGGGCCTAGGAATACTTAGTTGCTTCTACTATCCAAATGAAAAGTACAGAAACAGTCTCCCAAGGGAATTCCCTAAAGAGCTTTAAAAATAGGCTTAACCAACATCCACTGTGAATAGTGAAAGCAGGAAGCAGGAGCAGATGGCCTCCTGAGGTTTCCCCCAGTTCATGAGGATTCTAAATGGGGATTCTAGGAGGTCAGCGGCAGCCCCACACATACCAACTTACAGGCTTCCACTGCACTGTTTCCAAGGAAAACGCAGGATGGGCTGGGAGACCAAAAGCTTCAAGTATCCCATCGACCCTGAGTAGGGCAGGATCCCCATATAGATTGGGCGGGGGCAAGAGAAAAGGGGCATCTGTCCACTATAGGCTATAGGACCTCAAGAATTAAACTTAGAGACGTGAAGGAGGTTGGTTCTGGTTACAAAGATGTTCCCCCAAATGAAGAGAGAGGGACTCAGAGCAGGAGAGAATCCTGCACTCACCTGCACTCTCCGAGGGCTGAGGGGCCCCTGCCACTCCGTTCAGGTAAAGGATGGGGAGCAGGTGAGGCTGGGTCTTCTCCAGGGCCACCCGAAGGTCCTGGAAGTGGTCTCGCTCCTTAGAGAGGAGCAGCTTGAGCAGCAGCTCCGCCTTGGCCCCGGGGCCCCCAGCCCCTCCAGCGGCAGCCGTGTCCTCTTCCAGCTGCCTGCGGTCCCCGGCACTCAGGGCTCCGGCCGCCTCCAGCAAGCCCAGGACGGCTTCCACTTCAGTCATGGCCTGAGCCAGGCTCTGCTGACAATGAGCAAGCAGCTCCCGGTGTTTTGGCTCCATGGCTCCAAGGAGCTTCACCCGTGGGCTTCCCCACGCGTCCCCCCCCCCAGAGGCGTCCTTCGGCCAGGAAAGCGTTATAGGAGAGGGGCTTCAAGCGCTCCCCTAATCCGGGGGCTGATGCGCCCAGAGTCGGCAAAAAACCCCTCTTGCCCGGGGCTGGGCACAGGACCGCTTGGCGGCAGCGGCGGCTGCTGTTGCTGTTGCTGCTGCTGCTGCTGAGGCTGCCGCTGCTGCTGCTGCTGCTGCTCGGGGCGCCCCCCAGGCTGGCGGGCGAGCGGGCAGACTGGCGGGCGGGCGACTTAGCTGCAGCCCTAGTGTGGCGGGAGCCCGAGCTCCCGGGGGGCCATGGACTGGAGCCGGGGGCCGCGAAGAGGGGCGCAGGGCTCAGCGGCGGCCGCCTCCCGGGCTCAAGAGCGCAGCCATGTTGGCGGCTGCTGCTGCAGCGGGGCTGGAGGAGGAGGAGGAGGAGGAGGAAGAAGAGGAGGAGAAGGAGAAGGAGGAGGAGGAGGAGGAGGAGGAGGTGCGGGCGGCGGCCGTGGCCGGGGCGCGCCCCGAGGCCGGGCTCCAGACGGGCATGCCCCCCCACCCACCCACCCAGCTCACCTCCGCCTTCCCCGACAGTGCCCGCCAAGAAACACAAAAGCAAAAGCAAAACCCCCTGATCTGGGATGAAGAACCCCAAGTGTGCGCTACGAGACCCCCCCCCCTCCGAAAGCCGCTCAGCCCCGGGCCCGGCTGCAGCAGCCACGGCGCTGTCCCCAGGGCATGGCTCCCCAGGCCCGAGCCCCCCAAGTCCCTCCGCTGCGCTCACTGAGGCCCCGCGGCCACCGCAGCCCCGGCCCCGGCCCCGGCCCCGGCTCCGGCTTCGGCCCCGGCCCCGGCCGCCGCCGCCTCCCGCTCCGCCATGGCCCGGCCTGGTGTTCGCCGCCGCCGCCTCCCGCTAAGTCTGTCCCTCCCCTCTCCTCTCCTCTTCTCTCCTCCCCTGCTCTCCTCCTCTCCTCCTTTGCGCTCTCCTCCCGCCGCCAGTCACTCACTCCACGCCTCTAGCGCCGGGGCAGCCGACTCCCGAGAGGGGGAGGGGGAGCAGGAGAAGGAGGAGGGGGACGGGGAAGAAAGGGGGGTCCCCGCCTCCCCGCCCCCGGCCCGCCCCCAAAGGCGGGGCGCCGCACTCGCTGTCCCGCCGGGATTCCGCCTGGGATTAGGGCTGTGGGGGAGGGAGGGCTGAAAGAGTCCAGGAGCTTCAGACCACCCCTTCATCGAGGAACCCAGCGTCTCACCCCCTCATCCTAAAACCCAATCCTCCCATACCTTCAGCTTAAAACTGAACCTTTCCACTCTTTCATCCAGGAATCCAACCCTCCTACCCCCCCACCTAATCAAACTTTTCCTAAAACTGGGCTTGGGAAGGGGAAGGGAATAAGCATTTATATAACTCCTACTACGTGCCAGGCACGGTGCTAAGCGTTTTTTAACCCAGAAATTCCTCCACATGAGAGTCCTTTCTTTCAAAACAAAACAAAACAAAATGAAGAACTTTCCCTGTTCCTCAGCGCAAGACCCCCTTATATCTGAAATCCAGAAGTGGTCTGGTCAGTCCAACCTAAGTTCCTACCTCAGTTTCAGCTAGAGGTAACAAGTCTTCCCTCTCATCGCCATTCTTTCTGCCCTTTTCTCGATGCTGCCCCTCCAGTAAGATTGGAAGGTGAGAAACTGACCCACTTCTAGAAATTGTTGAATGGGAGAGGCCCTGGGAGTCAGGTTGGCCCATAGTCTGAAGACATTTGGGTTCTGATGCTTTGGGTCTGGGAAGGTGGGGAGGAGGGATTTTGAGGTGAAGGAAAGATCATAGGCTCTAAAACTGTAAGGGACCTTAAATCATCTATTATTCAATCTTCGTTATTGTACGTGGACGCAACAAGGTCGGAGAGGTTGATGTATATCTAAGGTTACCCTGGTAATAAGTACTAGTCTCAGGATTCAAATACAGAGCCTCTCATTTCAAATCCAATGCCTTCTTGGTCACAAAACACTTGCAGAGTGGTGAGTCTCCTCCATTACTAAAGGACAGGCTTGTTTTCTTCACTGGAATGACAATTTTACAGGGGAAAGTGGGGAGAGAATTGATGTAAATAAACTGGAAGGCTTGACTTTATTGTGGGGAAAGGAACGATGGAAAAGGGATGTCTTGCAGAATGACTGCAATACATTTGTGTCTCTTTTCAAGCTGATGCCTTTCCCTGTCCTCCTCCCCACCCCACCCCACCCCCATGTCTCATTTCTGGCCCCTGATGGGTGGCACACCTGTTCCTCCTTTGCCTAGCAATTAGGGTCCCCCTCCTGGTGACTTACCTTCTCAACAGCCCTGGAGCACAAATCGTTTTGACAATACCCTAGATTTAATTTGGGCTAGAATCTACCCTCTCCTCTTTTTGACCCAGGTTTGGTACACTGTGATTATTGAGGAACGTTGCAGGGGACAGGGGGGAAATGGAGGAGAAGGAAGGAGTTTGGAGGAACTTGGCTTTATAAGTCGAATCAACAAGTGGGATAGGTCCCAGGCTTTGCAGGTGTCATTGTGACAGAAGGTGGCAGAAGAAAGGCAGCATGTTTTCAGTTAAATGCTGACATTCATTCCCTTGGCAGACAGAACCCACCTGGGAGCGTGGAAAAGGCTCTCTTCAGCATGCATCTGTTTTCCTCCCACCCCCCACCCCAACTGTGTGTTCTGGTATTTCCTACTTTAATAAAACCTGACTAGCCTTGTGGGATACTTGAGGGAGAGGTGAGTTGGAGGAGAAGGTAGAGAGAATAAGGTCAAAGTCAAATCAAATCAAAGGAGCTGGGTTAAAATCCTAGCTTTGTTAGGATCTATGTGACTTTTCCCAAGTACTTTACACCTTGGCCTCAATTTTCTAATCTACAAAATGGGGGGGGGAGGGAGAGAGAGATAGACTGCAGTGTCTCTGGAGCCTCTGCCAGCTATAAATCTACAAAAAATTAGTATGCAAAAGATAAATTAAGGGGTGGCTAAATATTCACTTTACTAAAGGATTTAGCAGCGATATGGAAGCTGTGTGCACATTTGCTTTAACTTTTAAAGTCCTACATACACTAACCCCAGCCTCCTCTCTCCATGCTCTTAAACCCAGCCAAACTGACTTTCTAAATGTTCCTCACACAGAGCACTTCATCTCCAGCCTCCAAGCAAATTTTGCACTGGCTCTGTCACATGGCTATAATAACATTTCCTCCGCACCTCCACCTCATAGAATACTATTTTCAGTCAATAAATCAATAAACATTTGTTGAGCACCTACTATGTGCCAGGCACCGTGCAAAGCACTGGGCATCCAAAAAGAGGCAAAAGACAGTCCCTTCCTTCAAGGAGCACCACCTTCAACTTGAAGTCTTTCTTGATCTCCCCAGCTGCTAGTGCCCTTCCTTCTCAAACTTTCTTATATCTGTCAGCATTTATTCTATCATGCAAGAGAGCTTGTTTCTCCTATCAGAACGTTAGCTCCTTAAGAGCAAATATCATGTCATTCCTCTCTTTATAGCCTCAGTACCTAGTATATAGTAGACACTTAATAAATGCTGATTGATTAATTGATTGATGGATTGATTGATGACTATCCAGTCACACAGCTATGGCTCAGGTCCAGAGTGTAAGGCTTTGTAAAGAAAACTTGCGAAGGGGCAGCTAGGTAGTGCAATGGATAGAGATAGCCCCTGGAGTCAGGAGGACCTGAGTTCAAATATGACCTCAGATACTTACTAGCTGTGTGACCCTGGGCAAGTCACTTAACCCCTTGCCCCCCCCCAAAAAAAAAAGAAAAGAAAAGAAAACAAGAGAACCTGGGGTCCAATTCCAGCTTTGTCATTCACTACCCATGTGACCTTGGACAAATCAGTTAACCTGGCTGGGCCTCAATTTCCCCATTTCTAAAATGAAGAGAGTTGGGCTCTAAAGCTCTTCCCACTACATTACATTGCTACTCCATGCACAAATAAAATATTCAGGCTTGAAGTAGAATTCTCTCCCTGTTAGCATGAACATCTGTGAGGGCAAGGATATATATGTGTATCCTGTACAGAGGGAAGCAGATAGAGTATCAGTAGGGCCAGGAAGACCTAGGTTCAGATCCAGACCCTGACACTGACTAGTTGCATAATTCTGAACAACTCCCTTCCAGTTCCTGGGCCCCCTAAGACTTCTCTAAAAGAAAGGATTGTAACCTGATCTGCTTTGGTGTAAAGAGTTCCCACACTGCCAGGGAGGCCACAGACCACCGACTTATGGCACCCTCCCTAACACCCACCCCCTGAGCCTTGCAAGCAGCAGACAATCAGATATTTGTTGAATTGAGGAATGATGATTTCTGAAAAGAAAACAGAGTATGGGAAAACTGAGGCGCAGAAGTGTTAACTGACCCATCCAAGTGCACACGGTAAGTCAGTGGCCAACGTGAACTCAGGTCAGAAGATCATCTGGAGAAGGAAATGGCAAAGCACTCCAGCATCTTTGCCAAGAAAACCCCAAATCCGGTCACAAAGAGTCAGACACACCTGAAATGACTAAACCACAACAGAAGATCGTAGATTTAACTCTGGAAGAGTTCTGGATAGATGGCTCTCGGGTTCAACCAGCTCACTTTACAGGTGAAGAAACTAAAGCCAGCAGGGGTTAGGTGACTTGGTCACACAGCTAGTAAAGTATAAGAGACAAGATTTTTAAGCACAGGTCTCTTGGACCCCAAGCCTGGCACTCTATCCACTTTGCCAGGCTGCTTAAAGATTAATGTAATAAAAAATGTCACTGCTCTACTAGTATTGAGGGTTAAGGGAATCATTGTTTATGTAACAACTAGGAGATTAAACAAGGTGTAGATCTCTAAAATAGGTCATAGCATCATAAACGTGGGGCTGCAAGAGGCCTCGGAGGTTAGCTACTCTTTCATGTTGCAGATAGGGTATTGTGGCCTCCTGAGGTTAAGTGATTCAACCAAGGTCTCACGGGTATTAAGTGACCAAGTTAGATTTCGAACCCAGGTCCTCTGACTTCAAAGCCTTCCACTTACAGTCACAACAGAGGAACCCTCAAACAGAATCAAGAAATGAACCTCCCTTCCTACCTACCCTCTGACCAGTGGTGTTCTTCACCCTTGGTCCCTGAATGCCTCCAGGTCATCATATCAACTATTCTACTTACATATGACTTCCTGGAGTGGGCTGTAAGTATCCAGTATAAGATAAATATTGTGGCATATCAAACCACCTACTGGTAAGAGGGTATGAATTGAACTCCGTGACCCTCCTCAGATAACTGCCCAGACTGTCTTGTTCAGTCTATGCTCAGTTAAAGCATAACCAGGCAAATCATGTAAATAACATTCTGTTCCAAAAACTTTCACATGGCTGCCCCTAGCCCTAGCCCATCTGTCCCCAGGCCCCAGGCAACTTCAAAAGAGAAGGCTCCAGGTTCCAGTTCACAGTCAGACAGCCTGGCTCAGCTTGCTTTTTTCAGGCTAATTGTAACTGACCTGCGCTCAACAGAAGCAAGGAGCGAACATTTCTA